ACGAAATGAAATTTTCTTTTATCTGTTTGCATTGTTGTATCCTCCTGGTCGTTTAGAGTGATAGTACCTTTACGATACTTTTTGTTGAATTTTTTAAACGGCTTCTTGATTGACTTAACTTGGTAACTCAATATCTCCGTGGTGCAATGAATAAAACTTCTCTTCAATATTAGCATACCTTGAAAAGAAATCTGAAAGAAAATGTAAATATATCATTTCAAAAGCAATATTGTATCTGTAATTGTTGTTTCGAATTTGCGCAACTTGAGATTTGCTTTTGAAATTGCGGGAAACGGGAAGAAACATTTGTGTGTAATCGCAAATACAAAGTAATTTCTATAGCTGTTGTTCAGTAATTTAATATTGCAATAAGTGTGTAAAATATATGCGTGTCTTCCTTTATTGTGCTATTATTCAGAAAAATGTCCTTCAGTATAGGTGATCTGTGACTGCTTCAACATGTATCCATTTCTTCAAGCAACATTTGCTTCACCGCAAAAATTTATCATTACAAATTCCAATGATCAGTAATTTGTAATGAATAATTTATATCTTGGAGATGATTAAAACAGTAGTACTTTACTTTGTTTATATGTTAATGGCTAAGTACTCGAGGGTTATCTACCTAAAGGGAGGAATGCCTTCATTGAGGACTTTCTAAGAGAAACTAGCTCGTACGTACATTGCATATGGGAAAAACTATGAAAATACCAATGCAGCCAACCCGTTCCTCAGGGTTTGAACCCGGGTCGAACTCCTATTAATTGCGACTTTCACCGCCAGGCAGCTGGTGTATTGAAGCCAGTAATGCTATTGCCTTGGATAATAGACAACTTTTCGACTAGCTGATATAACCTTTATTCAATTTAAACCAGGAATATTAGCAAATAAAGCGATGCAAACGCTCTGAGCTACTCAATAATTATACATATATATTTCACATATTCGCAGAAATGTAATTGACAATGAAAAAGAAGCGCGAAACATGATGTTACCACCTACAAGATGAAGGCCAATGAAAGAAGAATACACAGATTACAGTGTAAGGTATTTTTCCCTCCTTCTTAGCAAGTCTTCGTAGTGTGTTGGTCTGCACGCTTGGCGCGTATTCCACAGGTCCATAGTTCGATTCCTGGCGAAATAGTTGCTCATTTTTCTCTTCTTCCTGTTCCAAAAAATCATAATGTCTCTACAGTGGCGTCCGAACCAAATGGGTGGTGGATGATGATTCTCCACGCCCAGGATTTGGCGATTGGGTTCTCTACAACCCCTAGTCACCCTTTTAAAAGGGGGCGGAGTATAGAAGGTATTTCTCCCGCCTTCTTAGTGTGCCTTCGTTGTGTAGTTGTCTGCACGCTGGGCGGGTCTTCCTGAGTTCCGTGGTTCGATTCCCGGTGAAAGCCTTGCTCATTTTTCATCATTCCTGCTTCCGAAAAAACCTAATGTCTCTACAACAGTATCAGTACAATTGTACAGTATAGTACAATATCAGATTGAGTTATGGTCCTTGTTTCTTTCTGTTGGTTATTTATCAGTTTTGGTTCCAAATTATTGTTGGTTAAAAGGTTTTAATTTCACTTTTACCGTAGCGCGTCATCAACGTTATATAAAAAATCATTCGACGGGAATTAATTTTGAAATGATGCTGTAAGGATCCTAAGTTTTACTAACGTTTATTTTATTTTAAAACTGTACTATCACTTCTTATTTTCTACTTCCGGCCAGAATTAAATACTTTAACTTGTTTATGCAAATTGTCTTGCTAACGCCCAAGTACTTAAGTTGTGGCTTTTTGCCAAGAGAAAGTGTGTGTGTGATTAGGGCAAAGCCTCGAGGGCTATCTGCCTAAGAGGAGGGATGCCTTCGTGGAGGACTTTCTAAGGGAAACTGGCTCGTATACACGTTACACATGGTGAAAACCACGAAAACACCCATGCAGCCAGCCCGTTCGCGGGATTTGAACCTCGGACCGAACTACCAGTGTTCAGAAACTTTACCGCTCGGCCGCTGGTGGGCCCCAAGAGAAAGAGAGAAGGAGTTTTAGGAAGCAAGCCGCTTGCCACTGTAGTTTTACGAGTTTTCACTCGGTTGCTGGTTGCCTTTAAAGTCAGAGGTTTAGCCCTCTTGATATTTGCGAACGTATTGTAGTTTTCAGCAGCTCGGCGTACTACATACGTACCCATTTAAATAAAGGCCAGGCTTAGAGCTAGGCATTTGTATACTAATTCAAAGTTAGCTTTTAGTTAGAGTTTTAATTAGTAGTTTTATATTCTTACGTTCAGACCACAAGTGGTTGGTCTCTGTATTCTGAAGTTCGGAAGGACCTGTAAAGTATTGAAAATAAAGGGTTTCGTATACCCTTCCTGCTTGTGTAGTCTACTTTACACATTCTTGAACATAGCTTGAGTAAGCTCCCTGTTCTTATTCAGGGCATTCCATGTTTCCAAAACAAATCAAGAGAAAGACAAGTCCTGACAATGCAATTCCTGATTTATTAATTTTAAGATAGAAAGAGGAAATAGCTCAATTAAAACTAGGATTTTATATTCCATATTCTTTTTCTTATATATATATATGTTATTTTTAAAAATTATTTTATCTTATTATTGCATAAGTGTTTAAGAAATGTACTGTAATGCTAATGTAAAAGCTTTCAAAGAGTACGCGTATGTGAAATGCCTTTGGCTTGAGTACTTGTCCTTTTTCTTTTCTCTTGGAGGCTGGTTAGTGTTTTGTTGAGTTAGATATTAAAATACGGTATATTGTGTATGCCTGATTATGTCTCGATCAAGGTATTAAATAAAACAAAGCATTATCATACTCTTCTAACGTATACGAATCAGCGACTATTTATCATATTTATTTTCCACTATACAGACATAAAATATTTCAGTTAGTATGTTTTTGATCATTAAAACCGTCTTTCTTGTATTAAAGAGATTGTTTTAAAAATTTCAGTAAGCGGGTTGTGCTTTCTTCTCCGACAAAAAAGTATTTTGTGTTAGTTCAAAAAAAACGTTATTTGCAGAGCATAGTTTTCCGTTCATTTCTTTATTGATTTTCCTTTTTTTCCCGTGTCGTATCAGTTTGTTTTCTCAAAACAGTAAATATTATATCTCTTTTCTTCTGTTTGTATGAGGTAAAATAAAAAGTACGTTCTTTTAATGTACTGAAATACCTCTTATGTAGGTTTGATGTTTTCTTACGTAAAATTTTGAAAAATCTAATGGAAACATTTGTCCGAATATGTTTTTATACGATATTCGAAATTCATGCTGATAGTTGTTTTAATATCTACGTTATTTGGTTTTATAGCGCTTGAGAGGTTATTATATTTTTTATTAATTTTTAAGACCTATAATTTCACTTTATATTTTGTGATATATATGTTAGCAATACCAATACTGATAAAATATCTTATTATTATTTTTATGTCTAGTATATTAGTATAATACATTTTTTATTGAAATTATAATCTTAGAGGTATTAATTATAATCAAACTTAAACTGGAATATAATAATGAGAGACAGGAAATATTCTAAGTTTTCTGGAGACTCTTGAGTCTTTCTTACCTATCTGTACAGATAACAGACTCAAGGGAGACTTTATTGATAAAATTATTATTAACTGATAATTAATATTAAATTCATCTTTAAGATTTAAGTTTGATATGATAGTATTATCCTAATGTACTAGAAATAAAAAATAATAAGAAGATACTTTATCAGTATTGTTTCATGACTCTTTCTTATGAAAGACTTTATGAGTTTTTCTTATGAAAGTTATGAGAAGAATTTTAAATCTGGTTTTAATAACAATAATAATAAAAAAAAAAAAAGACTGGTTTGGTTTATTTGATTGTGGCAAAGCACTCGAGAGCTATCTGCCTAAGGAAAGGACTTTCTAAGGGGCAATGAGTCGTATACATGTTACACAGGGAGAAAACCACGAAAACGCCTATGCAGCCGTCCAGTTCTCCGGGATTAGAACACCGAATCCGAACTACCAGTATTCCAGCGACTTTACCGCTGGGCCACTGGTGAGTCTATAAAGGTGAGAATATAGTTTTAAAAATACATCTAGATATTGTAAAAAGATGTAAAGGACATTTAGTAAATGGAGTATATAATTAAAAATCTTGAGATTTCATTTTCTCAAAATAATCTGACTAAAATATTTGAATAACGGTAGCAGATTTTTACACTTTTGAAGAAGCTTTTAAAACCAAAGTAAGTGTAGAGAGGAAAAGTTTATTTCAAATTTTGAGAAATATAAACATTAAACATAAACACCATAAACATGAAACGTTAATTTCTTACCCGTGAGTTGCGTGTGCGGTTAAAAATGTTGCCATGAGGTGATACTTACTGGTAGTTCAAATTAATGGGTATGCAACAGTTGTTCTCTTGATGTATGTGCTCTTCTATTAGTTCTTAATAAAAACTCATTTTCTGGAGGGTTTGTGTTAAAAATATGTAACATTTGCGCTAAAAATCAACCATACGCTTAAGATATGAGTTAAAAAAAACGTTTAAAGGTTCTTTAAGTTAAGATTCAAAAAATTCCAGAAGGAAAAAAAAAGTATCTGAGAATCTGGTCCTGCGAGAAGAGTTTTGATTATTTATTTATTTAGATTTCAGTGCACTTTCATTATTATAATTCCTGTATCTCACGATAATATTATTCATACTGAATATGTATATAAGCTCTTTATATTCCATTGTTTCTGAATTTTTATGAGATTTTATTTAGTGTAATAGCAAATAATTATTGTATGTCAAAAACGTAAGTTAAAACTTTTTATTATAAATGTAATGATAACAATTACTTTATTTGAGTTAATTGTTTCGAAACGAATACTCTTATGAGAGTCTGGCTTTGAAATGTGAGTAGTCTTGTGATCTAAAATGTTGATAAAGCCTCTAAGTATTTTTTAATTAATTTTAATTTTTCCTTAATCTGTTTGACTGTTATCTTAAAAATATCTTTTACCTTTCAGAACATGTTCGAGAATTCAATTGTGGTCGCCTATTCTACAGAACGTTCTTTCTGGACATTCGGCGTGATGTGCTCTATGTTGGTGCTATGTAAGTTATGCTTAATTATTGCCATTTGTTTTTCTTGTTGTGTGCGTCATTATTCCCATATTCTTGAATAGGTAGAGAAGATTTTCGAAGTTCCTGTATTTTTTTTCCACGTAAATCATTAAGTATACGTGTCTTCCTTTAAAAAATTACTTTGTTGGAGTTTAGGCGAAACATTCTAATAATGGCCTATTTCGTTCTTTTTATATTGGAAGTAACAACCTCAAAAATACTCTGTGCTAACCATTATACCATTGTGTCAGTGTTTTCTTATTTTATCAGTCAATTTAAGCTTTAGTTATTATTTTCCTTTTAATTGCTTTTACGCTTGTTGTCATGAGGTGGGTGATGAAGTTTAGAAAGGAAAGAAGTCTGTCTCTTACCTAGTCCTACAAGAAGAGTAAATGCTTAGTGAAAGAGAGTTAACCATTGACTTAGGCAGTTACTCCATTTCCAGGTGGTGCTATTTTTAACATTTGACTTGATGTAAGTTTCAGATTTAGGGATAAAATTTCGAAAATTATGTTCAAAAGTAACCGTTATCCGCTCTTTGTTTTACTTTCCGTAAGATAAGGATGATTTCTTGTAGTTTGAAATAGTCTGTTGATAGATTCATAAGTAATCACATCCTCTGGTTTAAATGAAGGTCATATGTAAATTACTTGATAGAAATGAGCTTGTTTTGATTTGTACTATAATTAGATTCCCTGACACAAATTCGTTTGTTCCATTATGCACTTGATTAGAGAAAATAAAATTATTAGCCCAAAAGAAACGATAGTCCCGAATGAAGTAGTTTGCTTACTGGGTGTGAGTGTGACAGCAGACTGGTAGACTGCAAAGCGAATAATTACAGCTGCTAGAGCTGGTAGTAAATAAACACGTATCGCGCAATTCCAGAAACACATTCCCTCTCTCTAGCTTCAAAAACCTCACTTTAAATGCTGAAACAATTAATTTACATGATGGTGAATTATACGGCAAGGAGAAATTATTGTAAAGACCGAAATTACAATAATTGGTTAATTAACATAAAATACTCTACATATGAATATAATATATTTTGATACAAAACCATTTTATTGCTCCTTCCGGTTATATGTATTAAATTTCTGTTCTTATTAACGGCAACACTAATCGGAAAATTTCAGATAAATATACTTATTAAAGTTATATCAAAACAGAAGAGAAACACACCAAAATGAATTATAAAATTAGCAAAGCAATAAATAACCTGGTGTTTGTGGTAGATTTAATCAAGATCTCAATTGATTTCGAGTGCATACAGGTACCGGTGCCTTTTCGTCAGGAGCAAAGAGTCTTGCAGATTTCTTTGCTCCTGATGACGGGGGACCTGTACTACTTATTTTCCCTCAAAATTGATTGAGGTATTGAGAAATATACGTCAAACACAAGGTTGTTGCGTTGCTAATTTTATGTTATATTATGTAGTTAATAGTGTTTTGTGGCAATATGAAAAATATTAAAATTTTGTATAAAATGTTAACATTTTATAAAAATTATATTGGTCAAGTTAATGCAAGAATCCTTGGGGTTGAAAATCATATTTCCCATTAATTTGGTGTGAATTTATGACAACAGTTAATAACCGTTTTGGCTGTAGCTTCACCACAGCAAAATTTCATTTTTCGAATTACTTCCTTGTACGAAGTATTGTAGTCACGAGAAATTCCGGGTACCATATTTCAACGAAGATATCCATTTGGATTGCTATCGAATGCAATTTAACGATGGGTTTGCGTGACATCTGTACGTAAAGACAGAATAAAGGACTCTTTTTGTTTCCCCAGAACGAATTAGAAAACCAATTTAAAATAGATTCAGAAGATATTTTTTTCGTGGCGTACGTACGTATGTATGTATATACTCAAAACTGAGTAGCCTCAGAACGTTGAAATTTTGCATATAGGACTGCTATAGTATGTAGTTGTGCACCTCCCTTCCTGGTGGCAATTCGGCCGCACCAAAAGTATATATATTGAATTATGTATCGTAATGGAGGGGAAGAAAATATGGTGCTGGTGAATATATCTTGCTGGGTTAAATTTAATGTCGAGAGATGTAGAATATGAAATGGTTGATGATGAAAGGATTAAAATAATGTTTCAACTTTTTAAAAATTCGTAAGACGCTAGCGGGACTTTTGAAACAACAGTATTACGTAATGGAATTTTGAACCGTTCTTTAATGTAGTAGTAAGCATAAACATTTTGAAACAGCATCAGTAAGCAGTGAAAAATAAGAAAAATAAGTTCTTTTAAACTGTGCTATAAAATATATTTGGGCTGACAAAAATAACATGACGTATTTAGAATATTAAGTAGCTTTGTCGCAAAGAATGTCTCTTTCTGTTTTTATTTTTATTTATTTATTTATTTATTTATTTTTGTATCTTCTAAATATTTCCAGAAATCGTGGAATTCTGTTGCAAAATTTTCAAATTGTTTGGTGAAATTTGTTTGCTTTACAGCACCTGAGTCTTCAAAAATAAATATTTATGTAATTTATTTAAATTTTGGTTGACACACACGCATAAAATTTGATAGAAAAGCTATATAATCAAAAACTGCAAAGCGGTTTTAATCCATCATTCAGTAGCTGTAACCATAATCGAAGCAAACCTTCTAGCGATGTCGTTTTAAACGCAACTTAGCTGTCTGGAGCTTAGAAATTTAACTAATATAATGATTGATGTGGTCATAAAAATGTACAAACTGCCTATTTTTTTCAATGCAACTTTGTTATTTCCTTGAACGTTTTTTTAAAGTTAAATATAAAGGCGAGTGAAAATGCCATAGAGAATGTTTCGGATTTTGATTGATAATCTCAATAACCGAGAGTAAGTTTTTTTTAAGTATAGAAAGCAGAAAATAAGTTTTTTAATTCAAATATTTATAAATTTGTATGCATCCATGTGAATTCAATGTTATTCTGCTCTTGTAAATCTATGTAAAAGACTAACAAATGTTAAAAGATTTATGAAACTTTTCTAAAATTTCGACCAGGTAAATCTAACGTTCCTTCTTGCCTGCTTCCCTTTCTTGGGGATTAGAGATTTAGAGCATAAAGAAAGTAAAGATACAAATATGTCACGTTTTTTAAACAAGGTGCAGGTAGAAGTGGGAGGGATATCAGAATCCACCATTTGTCGTAGGTTGCCCTAGTTGTGCAGCTCCACTTCAGTTTTGAAGTAAAGCGCTCCGGGAGTCGGTCCGAGTGTCTTCTATGCCTCTTTTCCTGCCAGCAACTTCTTAAGAGGACTTTTAGCTCGCCCTGTGTTTTGAGTGTCCCCTTTCAGCACAGAACACTATCGGTTAACGAACATGTATGCCTCCTCCGGGATTAGAACCCGGGCACGTCTATACGGAGTCAGCGTCACTAACTACTTTACCGGCTGGGTGGCATATCAGTTAACCAAGAGTATACTATTACACATGGAGGTTAGAATAAATGGGCTAAGCCTTCCCCGTATGTCCCGTGTGCAATGAAAATGAAGCCGTGGAAGGTCACAGTATGACGTCACGGCTACCATGGCCGCTACTATGAGCGACGATTGGTTTTGTTTACATTATAATGGGTGTTGTCTACATGTTAGCTATTCATCACTGAACGTCTATAAGTCTCCCGTTCTAATTTTAATAGTTAACGTATAAGACTTAGCACATAGAAAAATCACAAGAATTGCGAATAAATCTTTCAAATTTAATAAAATTTAGGTTCATAAAAATGTGTAAATGGCTATATAGCAAATGTACACATGGTAAAATCTGAAAGAACAATGGAAGTTTCAATGATATTTTAGGCATATATGCCTAAAGACATTTCTCGGAGACTGCGGACGTTGATATTATCTCAACGTTATTGCAGTTTTATTTAACAATATGTTTCGTAGTTTTATCCGTACGTTGTATAGTTGTAATAAAATTAAGGTGGTGTCTTAATTTTATTACAATAGCGCCAATAATAAGTCGTGACGTCACTCTGCTGTTTCTTCCTTTGCTTCACTTTTGGGATGTTAGGCTTACTCCGTCTATTCTAACTTTCTTGATATTACATCTCCTCATCGTTAAACAGAAAGTATTAAAAACCGGTTGCTGAAAACTCCTTCTGTCACTCGGAACGCATCTCCCCCCCAAAGAGGAATTAGTTTGAAAAGTTCAAGTCATGATGTGTACTGTGCCGATATTCCTCATTGCTATCTCAGAGTACAGGGAAGAATGTTAGACTGAGATACTTTCTAAATAAAAATTATTGGTATCATGGTCCCATGAAGATCTGTAATTCATTGTTCGTAACTGCAATTCCCTTTATATTCTCTTGTAAGACCAATACATCAACAGAGCTGTTAATTAATAAATCTTCTATCTTAGAGCCATCCCTTTGTTTTTAAATTGTCTCGTTTCTGCCAATATCTAGCTACAAAGGACCACTGGAGCCCAAAACAATCGCCCATCCAACCTCGCCGTAACGGATCATCGTCCAGCTCTTTAACTATACTTACGCTCCATTTACCAATCGAACCGTTAAACTGACAGTTATCGCTCCTCCTCGGTCCACCCTCTCCGATCGGCATTGAACAATAGATGCCTAGGCGCATGAACCGCACGCTTGGGATTGGTCGTTGTTTCAGATGGCTAAGCGGAAAAGTATCAAACTTCCTGTAAACTTCTCGAACGGAAAGGAGAAATATGTATAGCTTTAATTTATGTTCGTTTTGAAGAATAAGGTGGCTTCTTCGATTCCCGATTGATCCCAGAGGGACGATTGTACTAAAAGCATTAAGAGTAATAGTTTTTGGAATACTCTTGAGAGTTATTCTAATGAACATAACATTTCGTTATGAAGTCAGACTTTGTTTATTGCCTTTTATTTACATACTGCCAGTGAAAGGTAGTCTACCTATGCCAGGTTTTATAAACAAATGAGAGTTTTTTCAGCGACGGAATTTCATCAGTTCAAATTAGTCAAGCTATTACCGATGG